AATTCATAGTAACCCTATGTACAACAGATTAAAACACTGCTCCGTCCTGGTCAGCCTCACAATCATTTCTGTGTTTGAGCCCATTGTTACTGCCACTGTGTCAAACTATCTCATGGAAGATGGATCTTTTTCTTTTTTGCTGACACTCTAAATTAATAAGCAAGATGTCCCTTTTTGAAGGATCTGGTCCCTCCAGATAACATACCCAAAGTATAAGAGACAAAATCTCTCCATCTTTGCTGCTATGGAGCATTCTGACTATAGTTCTTCCAACACAGATTTGTTCATTCTTTTGGCAGTCCATGGTATATTCAATATTCTTTAGAAACACCATCAAAAGCATCACTTCTTCAGTCTACCTTCTTCACTGTCTAGCTATCGCATGCTCTGAAGGTGACTGAGCATGGCCTAGGTTAGGCACATCTAAGTCACATCTTTGCTTTTTAACACTTAAATCATTAGCTATCAAGGAAATAAAAATCACTAAGAAATACCATTTAAAATCCAGCAAAATAGCAAAACGAAAGAGACAAATAATAAGTGCTGACAAGAATGTGGAGAAGCTGGAACCCTCAAACACTGCTGTTGGGAATGTGAAATGGTTCAGTCACTGTGGAAAATACTGGTGATGGCTGTACAACATGGTGAATGTACCACCACCTGTACTGTGGTAGCTGGCTTGTTGCTGTGATGCTGGAAGCTATTCCACCGATATTTGAAATACCAGCAGGATCACCAATGGTATAGAAGTTTCAGCTGAGCCTCCACACTAATACAGACTTCGGAAGGGTAGGCGGACTACTTTCTGAATGTTTGGTGAGGGTGGTTATGTGCATGGAGTCGGTTCCAACTCAATCCTATGTGGGGTTTCTAAGGCCACTGAGAAACTTATGAATCTGGAACACTATCCAGACAGTACCAGAATACTGAATATTGAAGCATTATGAAAAACACCAAAGTATTGTCAGATATAGTACCAGAAAATGATCCCCTACTATTGAAAGGCACTCAAAAATAGGAATGGGGATGAGGTGCTTCCTCAAAGTAGAGCTGACCATGATGACGTAAATGGAGTAAAGCTTTCAGGGGAGCCTTCATTTGCTAATGGGTCACAACTCAAAATGAGGAGAAATAGCTACAGACATCCATTAATAATTGAAACATGGAACTTATGAAGTATGAATCTAGGAAAATTGTTGTTGTTAAGTGCCATCGAGTTGGTTCTGACCCATAGTGACCCTGGATAGAGTTTCAAAGGAGCAACTGGTGAGTTTGAACCGCCGACCTTGTAGAAGTTGCCAAAAATGGAATGGAATGCATAAACATAGATATCCCAGGCATTAGTGAACTAAAATGTACTGGTATTGACCATTTTGAATCTGATAAACACATGGCATAGTAAGCTGGGAATGACAAATTGAAGAGGAATAGCAAACTGAAGAGGAATAATGTAGTTAGCATTTGTCATCAAAAAGAACATTTCAAGATCTATTTTAAAGCATAATGTTGGTCTGTGATAGTATAATATACATATGCTTATAAGGAAGACCAGTTTAATACCACTATTATTCAAATTTACATACCAACTACTAAAGCCAGTGATGATGAAATTGAAGAGTTCTACCAACTTTTTCAATCTGAAATTGATCAAACATGCAATTAAGATATTTTAGTAATTATTGACTATTGGAATGCAAAAGTTGGAAACAATGAGAAAGGACCAGTTGTTGGAAAATACGGCCTTAGCAATAGTAATGACGTTAGAAATCTCACGTAGAATTTTGCAAGACTAGACTAATGACTTATTTTGGAATCCTGTGTGGCACTGTTGGCTAATGCGTCAGACTGTAAAGTCGTTTGAAATGCAAAGTCGGTGGTTCAAGCTTACCAACTGCTCCTTGGAAACCCTATAAAGGGTTGCTATGGGTCAGAATTGACTTGACGGCATTTAACAACAATCGCTTGTACTGAATGTTATTTAACATGGATGGAGCTCAAAATATTATGGTAACTTAAAGAAGCCAGTAACAAAAAGCCCATGTAGTGGATGATTCACTAACATGAAATATCCAGAGTAGGCATATCTAGAGTGAAAAAAAATTGAGATGTGTGACAGCCTATGACTTAGGGAGCAGAGGCAGAGGCAAATGACAGGGGAAACGGAATGACTCTACGAGGTACAAGTTTCTTTTCGGGGGTGATGAACACTATACTTTCTGTAAATTTTCTAAAAACACTTTTAATGGTAAACCTTTACTCAATTCACAATAAAAAAAATTTAAAACCCCACAAAACCCTTTAAATGGATAAATTTCAGGTATATAAACTTATATAAAATAAAGTGATTATTTGAGAGTTCACTATGGTTAATTTTTAGTAATACTGGACATAATGGATTTCTATTTTTGACTTTCTACATGTCTAAAGTTTTCAGTATCGATTTATTCTCCTTTCTAACTTTCTTGTTTTTCAATTTTTATTGAAATTGTCTAATGGAATGCTAATGATATAATCACTTTAAATTGCTTAAATGGTTTCCTCTGGCATTTTTTGAGGGTTTCTTTTCTTCCTCTTATTTTTAACATTTTATTGAATGTATATTGACATCAGTAAATGCATATATTTGATGAATCTAATATGGCACATTTAGACATACGTATACAGTTGTTAGGAGTCCTGGTGTGTCACTGTGGGTTAATGCGCTAGACTGCAAAGCCATTTGAACTGCAAAGTCGGCAGTTCAAGCTCACCAGCTACTCCTTGGAAACCCTATACAGGGTCGCTATGGTTCGGAACTGACTCAACAGCACTTCACAACAACATACAGTTGTTAAACACCATCGAATAGGTTCAAACTCATAGTGGCTATGTATAGGGTTTCCAAGAAGCTGCTGGTGGGTTTGAACTGTCACTCTTTGGTTAACAATCCAGTGCTAATGCATACAGTTGTTATTGTTAAGTGCGATCAAGTCAGTTACAACTCACAGCAACTTTGTATAGGGTTGCCGGTAAGGTTGAATTACCAACCTTGCAGTTGAAACCGACTTTGCAGTCCAGTGCATTAACCCGCAGCACCATACCAGCACTCTGATATATACAGTGGGGATATTTTTGAAGTTCATGGAAGAATGAAATTAAAATACAATGAAATATTCCATGAACTTCTTGAGTGTCCTACTGCTTGCCAAACCATCAAGAAGACAGTGAAAGTATCCATCCTTCCCCAAAGATTCCTTCTTCAGCTTTATTATATCCCTCTTGCATCCTTTCCCTCCTTTTAATTCTCCCCAATCCACTGATTTGCTTTCTGTTACTATAGATGAGTTTGCATAATTTTATGTTGTTGACTTCATTATAAATTGATTATCTCTTCTTGTTGTTGTTAGGTGCCATCGAGTCGGCACAGCAGAATGAAACACTGCCCGATCCTGGGCCAACCTCACTACTGTTGCCAAGCTTGAGTCCATCGATACTGTCACTTGGCCAATCCATCTCATTGGAGGGGGTTATCTCTAGTTGCCTATTTTTAGCCTTGGAGGCCTGTTTGGAGTCCTGGTGTGGTGCTATAGGATCAGCAAGGTCAGTAGTTCAAATACTCAGAACTCCTATACAGGGTTGTTATGAGTCAGTCGACTCAACAACACTAATAATATATAGTATGTACTTTTTTTCCTCTGTATTCTATCACTCAATTGTTTAAATTGAATGTCTACTTTAGAAAACGATCATATCTAAAACTTCCAATGTAATTCTAAGCTCTTCGTTTATGGTAAAATTTGGTAATTTGACTATTTGAGTTTTGGTGTATCTTAAATATTAATGTTGTTGTTGTTATGTGCCGTGGAGTCGGTTCTGACTCATAGTGACCCTGTAAAGGGCTTCTGAAGCTGTATGGGAGCAGAAAGCCTCATGTTTCTCCAGCGAAACAGCTGGTAGTTTTGAACTGCTGACCTTGCGGTTCGCAGCCTGATTCATAACCACTATGTTACCAGAGTATTAAATTAAAAAATTAATGAAATGTACCTTATGTCAATTAGAGATGTAATTATGATCAGTTCTCATTAAGTAATTTTTTTTTTCATTAAGTAATTTTTATGGCTTCCTAAAGTCCTGGAGTGGCACTGTGGGTTAATGTGCTGGACTGCAAGATTGGTTTGAACAGTAAGGTCAGTGGTTCAAGCTCACCAGCTGCTCCTTGAAAACCCTATACAGGGTGGTAAAGAGTTCAACTGATTCAACAGCCTTAACAACACTGTCTGTTGTTAGTTGCTTTGCAGACTATTCAGATCCAACAACAACAAAGTTATTCTCCCAAACTTCTGTAATACTTTGTTAAAATGTAATTCTAAAGCTTGTGCAAATTCTAGGAAAAATAATTTAGAGAAAGGGGATAGGGTTGAAATGGTCTTCTGATTCACATTAAGATATTTCTAATAAAATAAGCAGATAGCCTTTAAGAAAAATAGACCCATACTCTAAGACCCATACACTTAGTCATCTAAGTGAAACTTGGCTTTTTTAAAACATTAGAGGTTTTTGAACCAGCTTTGTCTAATGCAATATGTCATTTGGTTTCTTGACTGCTGCTTCCATAAATGTTGATTGTTTAAGTAGACTGAAATCATTGACGTCATTCTTCCCCATCTGTCATAATGTTGTTTTTTGATCCAGTTTTTTGTTATATTCTCAGGTGTGATCCACACTGTTTATTAATAAGTACTTCGAGTCATTTTCGTTTTCAACAAGCAAGATGTGTCATTGGCATGCTGCAGGTTGTTAATGAGTCTTTTCCTAATCTTGAGTCTTCTTCATATAGTCCAGCTTCTTAGAATATTTGTTCAACATACAGACTACACCTCTTTCCAGTTCTGATCTACCAGCATCCCCCTGCTTTGTTAAAATGTCTGCCATGATCCATGTACAGGTTCTGCATGGACATATTTACATGTTCTGGAATTCCCATTCTTTGCAATGTTACCCATAATTTGTTACAATCACCAAATGCCATTGCATATCAATAAAACACAGGTAAACATCTTTCTGGTAACCTCTGCTTCTGGGTAAGATCCATCTGACATGAAAAATGATACCCTTCATTCCACATTCTCTTCTGAATCTGGCTTGAACTTTTGGCAGTCCCCTGTCAATGTATAGCTGGATTAATTTTTAAATTATCTTCAGAATTTTGCTAGCATATAATTTTAATGATATGATTCAATAATTTCTACATTTTGTTTAGTTATATTTCTTTGGAATGGGTACAAATATGTATTTCTTCAAGTTAGCTGACTAGGCAGCTCTTTTTTAAATTTTTTGACATAGATGACTAAAGGCTTCCAGGAGTACATCTGTTTGTAGAGTATCTCAATTGATGTCTTATCACCAATGCCTTCAGTGTAACTTGCACTTCTTCCTTTACTACCAATGAATCTTAATCATATGCTACTTCCTGAAACAGGTGAATGTTGGTAAATTATTTTGGTACAGTGACTCTCTACTACCACATCATCACTTGGTAGTGGTGGTCTTTATAATTTGAGCCATTCTAGTGAAGTGAAGACCTCACTGAGATCTTAACTTGTATTATGTTGATTACTAAGCATTTTTCCATGTGCTTATGTGCCATTTGTACATTTTCTTTGGTAGAAGTGTCCATTCAAATTATATCCTTTTTTTAATAAGGCCATCTTATTACTACTCAGCTACAAATTCTCTTCATATATTCTAAATATGGTTGTGGTCCTTAAGTGCCATCGAGTCACATAACCTGTATAGGCTTTCCAAGGCCGTTAGTCTTTACGTAAACAGAAAGTCTCATCTTTCTCCCACAGAGCGACTGGTAGATTTGACCTGCTGACCTTGAGGTTAGCAGCCCAGCTTGTAACCCACTACACTATCTTATTCTAAATATCAGTCCTGATCATTATTCAACTATACATGTTCTCTTTATATTCTAAATATGAGTTCTTAATAACATATTATCTTTTCATTTTCTTAGGGATTCCATCAATGAACAATTCTTTTATTTTGAGCAGGTACAATTCATCAATTTTTTTTCTTTCATGATTTATGTTTTTGTGAACAATCTTTGTATTTTAACTATGCTGTAGCAGTTTCCTAAGATATTTACTATCAGTACTATACCTGGTAGCATAGTGGTTACGAATCGGCTACAAACTGCAAGGTCAGCAGTTTGAAACTACCAGCTGCTCCACGGGAGAAAGATGGGGGGCGTTCTGCTCCCACAAAGATTTACAACCTCGGAAACTCTGTACAGGATTGCTATGAGTTGGAACTGACTCCACGGCACACAGCCCACCAACCACCACCAACTATATTTTGACTAAAATGTTATCTAAGTAATTACAAAAAACAATTATATTTTAGGAATTTATATTTGCATCCTTTCCTAAAGAAAATCATTGTTTATTAACAAACAAAAAATTTGAGTAATTTCAATATATACTATGTTGTTGTTAAGTGCTGTCACATAGGATAAGGCAAAGTGACTCTGGACTTTTATGATTTCCAAGAATGGTGGTGAGCCAACCTGTGTAATGAACTTGCAGTAGAGCAATAAGGAAACAAGATGAGTTTGAAACCCCAAGCCCTAATGTACACCAGTGTCAACCTAAGACCTTGGTGCAGCAGTCATGCTCCTGTTTCAATGAATAAACCAGGGCCCCATGAGTGGATCTAAATGAAATCATATAATTAGAGCAATCAGCATGGTGCAAGATGCAGAGTAAAAACATATGCTAGCTATCATTACTAATGCTACAGTACATATTTAGAGGAGTAAAATTTTCCAATAAGCAATTCAATTATTTTCATATGTTCTAGTGCAGTGGAGTCCTGGTGAGGCTCTGTGGGTTAATGCGCCAGACTGAAAAGCCATATGAAGTACAAGGTCGGTGGTTCAAGTTCACCAGTCACTCCTTGGAAATCCTATACAAAGTCACTAAGGGTTGGAACTTGAAGGCACTTAACAACAAGTATATTTCAACGAAGCAGGATAAAGCATAGGTTACATCATACAATTAGGCTGACAACATCAAAATAATTTATTAGCTACTTTATAAAATAAAAATATCTATATATAGAAAATTGCTCCAAAAGGATTGAATGAAGTTCTTACCATGGAAAAGTATTCATTCGTACTCTGTTCTTATAAATCAGAATTCCTCCTGACATCGCTCCAATCATAATTTCATTATTACTTTGATCCTTAAACAAACAAACAAAATATGATAAATCTAGAATAGTGCGCTTTAATTGTTAAACACATTTAAAAAAATAGGATTAGTCTTTTGAATATAATGTAACATTTTAAAGGGACAACATATTTGCATAATATTTTTAAAACAAAACAGTTCATATTACCAAACAAAAACTAAGGATGAGCTTCAAAACAAATTAATATTACATTTAAGTTATCTACAAACTTCCCACAGTAAACTTATATGACTGGGACTGACTGAGATAGGAACCAGAATTCATAAATCAAGGGCCTCTCATCTTATAGAATGATGAATTAGCATTCATCCTTTCACTTCTAAAACTATTATGACACAATCACTTAGTAAGTGTGCTGCTAGCATTATAAAAATGAGTAAAACACAGAAGTGGAATTCAGAGTCTGGTGAGGACAACCTATAATGAAAAATATTTACAATATAATATGGAGCCCTAGTGTGGCACTATACGATAAGCACTGGACTGCTAATTTCAAGGCTGGTGTTTCAAACCCACCAGCTGATCTTTGGACACCAAATATGGGATGATCACTCTAAGTCAGAACTGACTCAACAGCAACATAATTAATATACTAGGAGAGCTGGTAGCTCTGTAGTATAAGCCCTGGACTGCTAATCAATAAGTCGGCAGTTCAAGCCCACCAGGCGCTCTGAGAGAGAAAGATGTGGCTTTATGCTTCCTTAAAGATTTACAGTCCTGTCTTGTGGTTCAATAGTGAATAATTGCTATCAGGACTGACTGTGAGAGTTGCAAATGTAAAGGCAGACCTTTTGCAACAAAAGGAGGGAAGTGGTTGATTTTGCAGTCCAGAAGCAGAGGACCCGTTGGGAACATCAAGGGAGAAGAGCGGAGAGTGGGACCCTATCCAGAGAAGCAGTGATGCCAGAGACGGAGGCAGAGACGATGATGTGGAGAGATGGAGCGCCTGGGAGTTCTGGAATCGGAGGAAGAGGCGCTGTCTGCTGACGGCTGGGGGCTTGATGATGCATGGAGGTGATTGTAATCATTGCAATGAAACTAAATACAATAGGATGCATGTAAAGCTGATGTCCTCCCATGTAAACTATTACTCAATTCACAATAAAAACTTTAAAACAACAATAACAAAACTATTGATACATGAACCAGGCTACTGTAGAAGCAGTTAAAATACATACATGTTTCCTTTAGCCAAATTCCTTGTCTCACCTCACTGGAGGTAGTGACACTATCACCTGGAATCCTTCCATGTTCTGAAGCTCCTCCACTGCCCAGAATGAGCCATCAGTCTTCTCACAAACTGAAAGCCCACTGACACCTGGGCAACTCTTCTAAACCAGCACCTGGTAATTTTCTAATCATGATGGTCCCGGGTCAGTCAAGGATCAAGTGTCCACTGTGATCAAGATGAAGGTAAAGGCAGTGTCCACACTTCCCTAGTTATGGACTGAGAGCCACACCCTGGACACAGATTTTGGTTGGTCCTAGGAGTCAGTTTCCTGAGGACTACAGCATATAAAATGTGCCTGTATTTTATAGATCTACACTCTGCTGCTGATTCCCTTAAGTTAGTGTTTTTAAATCTTATTTTATACCCTCTGTCTCACCCCAAAGGCTTTTGGTAATGTCTGGAGTCATGTTTTATTCTCCTGACTTCAAAGGGGGCTACTGACACCTGGTGGGTAGAGGTCAAGGATGATGCTAAACATCCCACAATACACAAGACAATCTGCACAATAATGAATTATCCAGTCCCAAACGTCAAAGTGTCAAGTTTAAGAAATTCTACATTAAAGTGACACTCTGTAGCCAACTTGGTTGTTGTTCACAAGAGTTGTTGTTCACAAGAGTCTGACTCCTAGCGAATCTACAGGACAGAACTAGCCCACGTGGTCCCGTAGGCAGAAATCTTTACAGGAACAGATCACCAGGTCTTTTTCTCCCGAAGAGTGGTTGAACTGCTGGGTTTGAACTACTGACCTTTCGTTTAGCAGCCAAACACCGAACCATTGTGTCACCTGGACTCCATTCATAAGACCTAGTTCCTACTTACTGTGTGATACACTCTAAGATATGTGGAAGCTAAACTTTAAAGATTAAATAAAAATAAAAACATTTACAGTCTCGTAAACCCTATATAAGTTAACTATGAGTTGGAAATAACTTGACAGTACCTAACAACAACAACTAATACAGTACAAGCATCATGTAAGTATAGAGTGGGGAACAATTCTTGGATAGTTTGGAAGACCCTAATCTCATTGCCACTGAAGAGATCTGACTCACAGTGACCAAAAGAACAATACAGAATTGGTCATAGAGTTTCTTAAATTGTAATCTCTTTGGGAGTAGACTGCCACATCTTTCTTCCAAAGAGCTGCTGGAGAGTTAAAACTGCTGACCTTTCAGGTAACAGTGGAACACTTAATCACTGTGCAACCAGGGCTCCTTTGGAAAACTCTGGAGAGAAAATCTGAATTGTGCCTTAATGGATGAGTGAGAGTTTTCATGCCAACTGATTATACTTGAAATAATCTACACTGGTGAGAAAATGAGTAGAGTTAAAATACTTGTCTCAGGTGCTAATCAATCTTGAAACAACTTTTATCTTGACTTTAAACATTCCACAAGCAACCTTATGGTAGTGTAGTGAAACTACCAGCTGGTAGTAAAGCCACGAGCTATTCCACGGGAGAAAGATGAGGCTTTCAGCCTTGGAAACCCTATGTAGGGTTGTTATGAATTGGAACCAGCTCCACGGCACACCACCACCACTATTCATTTGCTCAGAAGACAGAACTGATGAAAAATTTAAAAAATATATCTTATAATTGTCTCAAAAGACTAAATCCTATGAAATATAATTATGAAAACTTTATTAAATTAACTTGTTGAAAGACAATATATAAGAAGTATTAAAATCCAACAGTGTCTATTCATTTGTCTGGTCGCTCATTTTTATTTTGCTAAAACCAGAACTATAATACACTGTTATTTGTTGTTGTTGTTAAGTGCCGTGGACTCAGTACTGACTCATAGTGACCCCTTATAGGGTTTCTGAGGAGAGGCTGCTGAGCTTGAACCACCACCTTTGTGGTTCAAAGCAACTTTGCAATTCAATGCATTAACCCACAGTGCCACGTAAAAACCATTAAAAACAAAAATAAAAATATCTAAACATCAATTCGAAGTTTAGACCAAGATGGCAGATTGAGCCTAGGGCTAAGCAGGATGCAAATTATATATTACGGGTATCATATTGAGAACCCTGTGTGTAAACAATTGACAGACTAAATAAATGTTCCCATCTCCTTTATTGCTATATGGTAAACATTGGAATGTTAATGGCAAGGTGGATGGTTCAAATTCATCTGCTCTTTGGAAACCCTATCCAGGGTAGCTATGAGACGGATCAAACTAGACACTAGTCAACAACAACAATTTCCCCTTTGCTCCCAATTTTATAAAACACCAGAGAAAACGAAGCATCCATCTGATATTAAGTGAGGGAAGATGAACAAGAACACCCAACCTTACAGACAGTACCCATTTGACCTAGCCTCGACAACTTGATAATCAGAACTCGACCAGAGGAAAATCACCAAACAAAAATTTTTTTGATAAAGGAAACAAGGGTAAATTGCTACAGTTTGATGAATCTCATGGAGGTACTAACTCTAAATACCAACAGAGTGGGTAGGAGTCTTCAAATCAAGTATCAATTCTAATCCCTCTGTACACAGGTTGGTTGGGGCTGGGCACTTTGGCCTTTGGTTCCTTAAATTGAGGGGGGGTTAAGGGCCGGAGTGACTAGCTTACAAGGTTTCAAGAGGGAGTTTAGTTTAAGAGCATGGAGGGGAGGAGAGGAGAAAGCGTCCCCACTGAATAGTTCTCAACTTGTCTAGATGGGTTTGGTGAAAAGACATGGGGATAAGATTCGTATAATTCAATAGTGAATAATTGTTATGACTAATTGCAACTGTCAGAATTGTAAAGGTAGAAGTTTTGTAACAAAAACAGGGGAGTGGTTAATCTTACAGTCCAGAAACATCTTTGTTCTTCAACACTTTAAAAAGGTCTTGAGCAGCAGATTTGCCTAATGCAATACATCGTTTGGTCTCTTGACTGCTGCTTCCATGAGTGTTGATAGTTAATCCAAGAAGAATGAAGTCCTTGACAACTTCAATCTTTTCTCCATTGATAAGAATGTTGTTGATTGGTCCAGTGGCGAGGATTTTTATTTTCTTTACATTGAGATGCAATCCATACCGAAGGCTGTGCTCCTTGATCTTCATCAGTAAATGTTTTAAGTCTCTTCACTTTCAACAAGCAAGGTTGTGTTATCTGCATATCAGTTTGTTAATGGTCTTCCTCCAATCCTGATGCCATGTTTTTCTTCATAGAACCCAGCTTCTCGGATTATTTACTCAGCATACAGGTTGAATAAGTATGGTGAAAGAATACAACCTTGTTGCACACCTTTCTTAATTTTAAACCATTCAGTGTTCCCATGTTCTGTTCGAACAACTGCCTCTTGGTCCAAGTACAGATTCCTCATGAGCACAATCAAGTGTCCAGAATACTCAGACTTCGCAATGTTGTCCATAGCTTGTCATGATCCACACAATTGAAAGCCTTTCCTTAGTCAATAAATCACAGGTAAACATCTTTCTGATAGTCTCTGCTTTCAGCCAAGATCCATCAGACATCAGCAATGCTATCTCTCATTCCATGGCCTCTTCTAAATCCAGCTTAAACTTATGGAAGTTCTCTGTCAATGTATGCTTGCAGTTGTTTCTGTATTACTTTAGCAAAACTTTACTCGCATGGGATATCAAAGAGACTGTCCGATGATTTCCACATTCCATTGGGTTGCCTCTCTTTGGAATGGGCACAAATACGGATCTCTTCCAATCGGTCAACCAGATAGTAAACATTGTTGTTGTTGTTATGTGCCGTGGAGTTGGTTCCAACTCATAGCGACCCTGTAC